ATGGTCGGCCAGGAGCGTCGGGCAGATGTTCGGCCCGGCGCACTTAGTGACGACCATTAATAGGTCGTCACAATTAATAACTAAATGTTCCGCAAGTAACGGTAATTAGACACGAAAAAAGACAAGCGATCTTTTTTGTAAAGTAGAAGCACACTCTTGACGCGACAAGCAATCGGAAAAGAGCACCGCGGTCACGAGAGAGGAGGTTTATATAGGCCCGTATTTCTAGAATATTCCCGAACAATTTTCTTTATTTTATCGTTCGGCTGAGGGCGAAAGAGCATTTAGTGTAATTATTTACTTTCCAGCACATCGTAGTTTTGTTATTATACGAACTAAAATGTATCTCCTCTCGCGCGACCGAGGTGTTTACAATTATATGTGATTTGACGTAAGCGCTTCCTTTTTGCAGGCGCGGGGTATACGTATACCTGTGCGGCCGAGCGCTATTTGAAAATAATATTAATATAAAATTAAGCATGATGCATGTTGCATGTGAAATGAGAAAACTGCATGAATTTGAATGCAATAATGTTTTAATACTTTTCAGCTTTCTTTAGACGTTCAATTTTTGAACAGTTTTTAATTGTAGCGGATTTGATCGACCCGAGGTCAATTAATGACGTCATTGACCAATCACAGCTATTTATTCTTCAGAGAAATAGCTGTGATTGGCCAATGACATCATTAATCGACCTCGGGTCGATCAAACCTGCTTCATTGGAAAACGCTATTAGTGATTTGAGTTTAACATTTTTTTCTTGTTTTCAGGACTACAGCAGCCACATTCACCAATTCTTAAGACCCATTTCTCTGTTAATTTTAATTATTATTCGTATTTGATTGTTATTATTCCATGAAAACTTTTTTTTTTGAAATGTTTTTCATACAATACAATTTGCATCTTTTGTTAATTTTTTTCTTTGAAATATTTTTTATGTATGATAACTTATATTGTATAAATTTTTGTTTTCTAGCGTTGTATTATAATTTGGTTGTAAACATTGGTTTACAATGTATTGCCATGTAATAAATGACTTTTTATATATAATAATGGCATTATTTTTATAAACTTGGCAAACTTGATTTCGACGTAACTAGCAATTTTATTTAATTCTTTCACGACGTTTCGACCATTTGGTTGTGGTCCTTATCAAGTGAAAATTCTATAACATAATATTACACAATCGTTTTTACCAATGTTGAAACATACAAGAAACTATCTAAATGTTAAGTTAATAATATAAATATAAATTTTATAAACGTACCCATCAATTAAACTGAGATTAACGCAACATCACACCGGTCTTATTTAAAATTAATAGTTAAAAGTTAAAAGAGGAACACGTCTCATCGCTATGATGTTTTGTCAACGACTAAATTTGAAACGCACCACTAAACAATCTTTATTATTTTGTCGTAAACATTTGTCAAATTCTCAGTGTCTTTCTGTAGGTTAACCGTATTATCATGCTTCTTTATGAAGAACATTTCAGCAATCTCTCTCTTTTTTACATGTTTTTCATTATGTAAAATGGTCGGTGATTTCCAATCAAAGTCATGTCCAAAATCACATCTGTGTTTACTCAAAACCGAATGATTAGACTCATGTAATTTAATATTGCTGGCATGTTCCTTCACTCTAGTGCGTAAATGTCTTTTCGTTTGTCCAATGTATGAGGCATTACAATTTTCACAGTTGATCTTGTATACTACATTCGTTTTTATATCATTAGTTATTAGATCTTTACCTCGTTTTATCAGTCTATTCAACTTTTTTGGCAAACTATAAACGACATTTAAGTTAGCATTTTTAAGTGACCTTTTAATACTGTCGCTGACGTCTTCAACGTATGGAAGTAAAATTACATAATTCTTATCTTGAGCCTAATTCACATTATCGTTATTATCCAAATCATTACTCAAATTGTCGTTATTATCCGCATTGTGACGGTTAACATTCCTATTGTTATTTAGTACATTAATTCTTTCATTTACATATTTATTAATAATACGATCCGGAAAGCAATTATTAATTAAAATGTTCTTTACAATCTCAATATTCGTATTATGAAATTGTTCGTTTGACAGTAAAATTGCATGGTCTACTAAATTGTAAATCGTATTAATTTTATACTTAATAGGATGACCTGAAAGAAAATTGATGTATCTACCAGAACATGTAGGTTTCCTAAACCAATTAGTTGTCAATTCATTCCCATTGCGGATAACTGTAGAATTTAAAAAATTAATAGAAAAATTGGTCTCTATTTCATGCGTAAATTTTAATCGTTCATGATAATTATTAAATGTACTTAAAATTTCATTTATTTTAGAGTTAGGTAAAATAACAAAAATGTCATCCACATATCTATAGAAAGTCTGAACTTTAAAACTTAAAGAATTTAAACAATTTGTTTCTAAGTCATCCATTACTAAGTCTGCTAATATCGGTGATAGGGGGGATCCCATAGGGCTTCCATAAATCTGTTCATAGTACTGCTCATTAAATTGAAAACTAATTGAAGTAAGTATTACATCAATAGCGTGTGACGGCCCGATTAGCCGTCACTAGCCACACATGGCCAACCAACCACCCGCGCTCATGTAAACGGCCCCTTTCGGGGCCACCACATGAACACGTTAGAAATCCGCCTTTTCGCCCCCACCCGTCACTCGACCCCCTCGAAGCTAGTCTTGGAGTGGGGTGGCTTGTCGGGTTTAAAGAGTGGCGCAGCCGAAGCTTCGCCGCCAGTCCCGTCCTGGTCCCTCGAGCGTACTCAGGGATCACTCCTCAAATCCGCACTCCCAGTCATCCCGGCCGACGAGCGTCCTCGTCGTGTAGGCCGAGCGTTCTCGGTCACCGGGCCCTGTCCGTAAGTCATCCCGGCCGACGAGCGTCCTCGTCGTGTAGGCCGAGTGTTCTCGGTCACCAGGCCCTGTCCGTAAGTCATCCCGGCCGACGAGCGTTCTCGTCGTGTAGGCCGAGTGTTCTCGGTCACCGGGTCCTGTCCGTAAGTCATCCCGGCCGACGAGCGTTCTTGTCGTGTAGACCGAGTGTTCTCGGTCACCGGGTCCTGTCTGTAAATCATCCCGGCCGACGAGCGTTCTCGTCGTGTAGGCCGAGTGTTCTCGATTACCGGGTCCTGTTCGTAAGTCATCCCGGGCGACGAGCGTCTTCGTCGTGTAGGCCGAGTGTTCTCGGTCACCGGATCCTGTCTGTAAGCCACCGGTGCTCGACGGAGTCCGCCCTTCTCAGGGCGCCCGTACGCGCGTCTACGTTGGAAATTCTAGTTATAAGTCGTGTCCGCGTCCGTATAATCTGGTCGCGTCTCGTCCGTAATATTCTTATCTGTAAATTCTAGCAATAAGTCGTGTCCGCGTCCGTATCATCTGGTCGCGTTTCGTCCGTTATACGATACTATGTATTGATAGACTGAATCACGGGTCAACCCCTGAAAGACGGCCCGAATAAACTATACTTTTACCAGAACAACCGCGTGTTATTGCAAATCTGAGTCTCCCCTCTTCCCGAATCCTGGCACCGACGAGCCGATCCGTGGCGTCGGGAAAGGTGCTTCGTTACAAGCGTATAGAAACTGTTGCAAATTAAATTTAGTTCTTAGACTTATGTCACTCAAACGACTTTCAATTGCGGAAAAAACTAAATCTTTTGGAATATTTGTAAACAACGAACAATCATCCAAGGAAATCATTACGTCATCGTCATTAACCCTTGTATTTTTAATATAATTCACAAACGTCCAACCATCTTTAACATTTGAATCCGGTTTCTTAACAGATTTAACTAGCATATCGTGAATGTAACCGGCAATATTATAAAAAAGACTGCCCAACGATGACACAATGATTCTCAATGGATACCCGCTCTTATGGATCTTTGGGAGCCCATAACACCGTGGCAAATTACCATTTGTGCAATTCAAAAATTTATATGTTTGATCATCAATGATCTCATTATTATGCCATGATTTTACTAACGTATGAAGTTTATTCGTCAGACGTGTAATCGGATTTTTATGTAATTTTTTTCGAAACGTCGTAAAAGAATTAAATAAAATTGCTAGTTACGTCGAAATCAAGTTTGCCAAGTTTATTTTTACCACTAGCGTCCAATATTAATTTTGATTGATCTTGGCATATTTTTATGTCTTACTTTTTTCAATGATTTTCCTTCAGACTAAAGACTAGTTTATAGAGGCCGTAATTGCTTTCTATAATCGTAATTGTAATTTTAACATAAAGATTTAATCAATCGCGTTGCTTGATTCAGCAGTCTATAATGCCGAATCAAGCAACACGATTAATCGAATTTTTATGTTACAATTACAATTACGATTACAGAAAGCAATTACGGCCTCTATAAACCAGCCTTAATTATTACTGAACGTTTACAAATCTATAGCAAACGTTCTTTACGCCGTTTCTTCTAACAAGAGTAAACGCCCATTAAACGCTTAATAGAGGCTGCACACAGTTTCCAATAATGAAAATAAACGTTTATTAAACGCTTAACTGAGATTTTATAAATGTTTTAAAAAACTCTCAGCAAACGTCATATGTCATGTAAACGCTGTGCAAACTCTCAAAAACGCTATATATAAACGTCTTTCAAACGCCGCAGCGTTGCAATTTCCGCTCTACAAACTCTTTACTGACCGTTCTTAAACTCTCAACAAACTTCCGCAAACGCTTATGTAAACGCCAAACAACCGTTCATGAAACTTCTTATTTTCTCCAGGGATGATGACGGCGCGAACTAGGCCGTCGACTTCTGGATGCACCTCGTGAACCTGCTCAAGGGCCCACTTTGATGGCGGCCGCAGCTTGTCCCTCAGCAGAACCAAGGTCCCAGGTTGGAGGTTGACCTTGCGGTCCCTCCACTTGCCCAGCTGCTGAAGATGCTGCAGGTATTCTCGGGACCATCTGTACCAAAAGTGGTCACGCATGTGAAAAAGAAGTCGCCATCGCGTATGTACCTAATTCGGCGGATCCTCCAAGGTTGATGGCTCTGGCACATTATTCGGGGCTTCCCCGATTAAAAAGTGACCGGGGGTGAGCGCCGCAAAATCCGTCGAATCCGCGCTCAGTGGGTAGAGTGGCCTCGAGTTGAGGCAGGCTTCGATCTGGCAGAGTAGCGTCAATAGTTTCTCGTAAGTGAAAAGCTGATCTCCCAGAACCCTTCGTAGGTGGTACTTGGTCGATTTGACACCTGCTTCCCATAGTCCCTTGAAATGCGGAACCGCGAGGGGAATGAAGTTCCACTCGACCCCATCGGTGGCAAGGAAAGCTCGACACTCCTGGCTGAATTCCGCTGCGGCGCGAAACATCCTGCGGAGTTCCCGATCGACGCCTCGAAAGTTGATTCCGTGATCGCTGATCAGACGCGCGAAGTGGTCTCGCCTTGCAACGAAGCGCCGGAATGCCGCCAGAAAGGCTTTCGTGGTGAGGCCTGATACGGCCTCCAACTGCACGGCCTTCGTGGACAGGCATACGAATAGACAGATGTATCCTTTGAATGATTTATGATCTCGACCCTTCGAGGCTTGGAGTTGGATGGGGCCTGCGTAGTCCACGCCGGCGGATAGGAACGGACGTCCCGCCCGGACGCGATTAGCCGGAAGCTGACCTATCTGCTGCTGTAGCGCTCCGCCTCCGAAGCGGACGCATCGGACGCAGCGATGAATCTCGGAGCGGATTAGTGAGCTGGCGTGAATGATCCAGTACGTCCGTGCCAGAACGCTTTGAGTCAACTGATAGCCGCCATGAAGAGTGCGCTGATGCGCGTCTCGGACCAGCAGAAGCGCTAAATGGCTGCCCTTGGCCAATATGATCGGGTGCTTCTCGCTATAGGTTAGGGGCGAGTGCTCAAGTCGCCTCCCGACCCGTATCAGTCCATCCGGTCCTAGAATGGGTCTCAGCGTCAGGAGAGGTGATCGGCGCGGGAAGGGCGCATTGCGGAAGAGGGATTTCAGCTCTCCCGCAAAGTCCTGTCTGCGCGATCCGCAGCCACCTGAGCCGGCAGTCGTTGAGTTCGGCGGTGGTCAGGTGAGCCGTTCTCGGTCGAGCCCCGCGGCGAAGAAATCTACGGCAGAATGCGGTGATGCGTACCAATCTGGTAAGGGAGGAGAAGCGTACGAGAAGCTCATTGACCGCTCCCTTGTCCTCGTCGGTAGCTGTCGCGTGCGCTCGGCACTCCTTGGGCAATTCCATGCTTTGACCCCGGTCCGTCAGCCAGATGGCCTTGGGTTGTTCCAGCCAACCCGGTCCCTTCCACCACAAGCAAAGTTGCGACAGCTCGGTCGGGGTCAATCCTCGCGTGGCGGCATTCGCCGGGATTTCCAACGTAAGGACGTAATGCCAGCGCTCGGTCGGCACCGTCTCTTGGATTGCAGCGATCCGATAAGCGACGAATGGCTTCCAGCGGGAAGGATGAGCTCGCAGTCATGCCAACACGACCTTGGCGTCTGTCCAGGCGTATAGGTGCAAGAGGGGCACCCTTAGGCCAGCGCCGGTGTTCCGGAGTAGACGCGCTGTCAACAAGGCACCGCACAGCTCCAGTCGCGGCATAGAAACAGGCTTCACCGGGGCCACTTTGGTTTTTGCGACTAAGAGGGTGGAGACTAGGATGCCGTTGGCGTGAATACCCAGAATGTACACCGCAGCGGCGTATGCTTTTTCCGAGGCATCGGAGAAGCCGTGGAGCTCCACGTGTCGCTCGCTCGAGGTCCCTGTCTACCGCGAAATGCTGAGCTGATCCAAGTCTGGCAGCATAGCAAGAAGGCGCGACCACCGCTCGCGCAATATCGGCGGGATGGCTTGGTCCCAATCCAAGCCGGCCATCTACAAGTCCTGGATGAGGATCTTGGCGCCTATGATCACGGGGGCCGTCCAGCCCGCCGGATCAAAAAGTTTGGCCACATTTGAAAGAATGGTGCGCTTGGTCGGATTCCCGACCTTCGTCAGCGCGGGGACCGCTCGAAGGTGAAGCTCATTGTGCGCCGGAATCCAGAGTACTCCCAGGGCACCCACGTTGTCCACTCCGGAGATGAGTCGTTCGGCTCTGCCCACGACCGGACACAACACGGTATGAGTGCCTGCCCACTTGCTGAGTTGGAAGTCGCCGGAAGCGAGGAGAGCCACAGTCTGCCGCTGGAGTTCGAGCGCTTTCTCCATCGAGTTTGCTCCCGCGAGGATGTCGTCCACGTAGGTGTTGGCCCGGAGTACAGCTGCCCCGAGTGGAAATTGATGGCCCTCGTCCTGCGCGAGCTGTAACAAAGTTCTTATAGCCAGGTACAGCGCGGAGGCCGTGCCATAGATGACGGTGGTGAGCCGGTAGTTCTGCACCACCGCCGCTGGATCCGCCCGCCATAAGATCCGCTGGAGGTCAAGGTCATCCGGATCTGTCGGAACATCTTCACGATGTCCGTCGTGAAGGCGAATCGATGCAGACGCCATCGTGTGAGGACCAGCCATAGGTCCGCCTGCAGCTTCGGTCCCGGGATCAGCACGTCGTTCAACGCCTCCTTCCGGATTATCACGGGAGTCTCGTTGGAGAGACTCCAACGAGACTTCCGTGATGGTCCGGAAGGAGGCGTTGAAAACGACCCTGATCTTGCCTTCCGGGTCTGACGCCTTCACCACCGCATGGTGCGGCAGGTAGTATTGATCGCCGATTGCCTTGCCGTGGGGTGCCGGTTCCATGTGCCCGCAGGAGGTGTAGGTCGCCAGAAAGTCTTGGTATCGCTCCCTGAGCTACGAATCGCGCGTCAAACGGCGCTCAGTGCTGAGGAGCATTCGCAAGGTTTCGTGGCGGGAAGCCCCAAGTCCCGTCGACGGGTTCTTCTTGCGAGGGAGCCGCACGATGTAGCGTCCCTTCGAATCACGTGTGTGAATCTCAGCGAAGAGCCGCTTGCAACAAGACTCTTCTGGCGTGAGCATCGGCTGGGCGGCCACCTCTTCGAGTTCTCAAAACCGTCGGAGTTCCTGGTGAAGATGAGGCTGCGTGGTGGTATGGTGAATGGCGACTCGGCTTGGTACAGGATCGGCAGGTCCGATGAGGGAACCCATCAGCACCCAACCGAACACGGTGGAGTGAGCGGCTGGTTCCCCCGGATGTCCACGCTTGACTCCTCCGTCAAGTAGTACGCCGTAGATATCGACGCCTAGGACGGCGTCGACTGCCGCCGGCTTGTCAAAGGCCGGGTCGGCAAGCGTGAGGCCCCGTAGATGCGGCTAATTACCTCTCGGGATCTGTTTCCCGGGTGTGAGGGCGGTGAGTCGGGGCAGGACCAGAGCCTTCGGCAAAGTAATCCGTACTGTCGGCGATCGCTCCGTGCCGATTACCATCGATACCGCGTGAGTCACTTGCCCGGTCGTCGCGCCCTGAAGGCCGGAAACCGTCACGTTCACTCGGCGGCGGGGCAGCCTCAGCTGCTGGGCTACGCGTTCCGAGACGAAAGATGCCTCCGATCCTGAGTCCAGGAGAGCGTGTACTGTCACCGATCGGCCCGATTCACTGAACACTCGAATAACCGCGGAGTAGCACTGTCGTGGAGATAGAACTGGTCAAGGCGGAGACCTTTGTCGTCTCCACGGTACTCGGTTTGTCGGCGGATTCGACGGGTTCAATGGTCTCCCAAGCGGCAGGTCGTGGCGTCGTCTCCGGTTCCGTGTTCAGAAGCGTATGATGCTTTTCCTGGCAGTGGCAACAGCGATGAATTGAAGAGCAAATTTCGGCGGCGTCACCCTGTCCCAGGCAGTTGAAGCAGGCCTTCCTTTTGCGCACTTGCTCGCGGCGCTGCTCCGTCGAGTATGCCTTGAATCTCGGGCAGGAGCGCATGTAATGTTGCTCCCTGCACAGGGGGCACGGCGTGCCTTTGTCATCACTCGCAGCCATGGCGTGAGACGCGACGTCGTCGTGCGGGCAGTACGCTTCTGTTTGGAAGCGGAACTGGAGGTCATCGGTGGTGTCCGCAGATTGGAGGTATCCAACGCATGAGCTCACGTGAGGAGAAACTCCTTGAGTTCCTCGAAAATAGGGAACTCCCGGCTCGACCAATGGCTTTCCCATAATAATCTGGTGGCACGATCCAACTTCTCGACCAGAATATGGACAAACCAGTCGTTCCAGTGCTCCACCGGGCGGAGCCCTCCATTGCCTGGAAAGAGCGCGAAGCCCGGTTGACCGCGCTAATCAGGCGGTTGATTTCGGCAGATGACGGCTTGGTTACCGGCGCGGCAGAGAGTAGCACGCGCATGTGAGTCGCCAAGAGGACTCGCTGATTGTCATATCGCGTCACGAGCTCGTCCCACGCCAACGCGTATCCGTCGGAAAAGATTTCGATATTGGTGACGGCGGTCTCCGCGTCCCCGGTGAGGCTGGCCTTCAGATACTGCAGCTTCTGCGAGGGAGTGAGTCCTTCCACATCATGGACCAGTGACTTGAAAAGGTCTCGGAAGCCTTCCCACGCCAGCTGATCGCCGTAAAACCTCAGCAAGCTTATCTTTGGCAGCTGGATCTGGCGCAACACTGAACTCGCGGCACTTTGTCCGTCCGCGAATTTTGACGCCGGCATAAAGGATGTGATACGCGACTTCGCGACTACGTAATTGTCCTCGGTCACCGTGTAAACGTCTTGCCGCATGTAATCGGAAGTGTCTATCTTCTCGAAAGAGAGGATGGCATTGTGCGCATCCAGGAAGCGCATCCAATATGACTCGAGCAACTCAAGGCGCGTAGTGAGATACGTGCGTGTCATTTTGTTCTTGCCGACTTTAATTAGATTGTCCCAGAAGCATTCAATATAACCGGCAGTGTTCATCTGCTTTTTAATTGCGAGATCCATCGCGGAGCGTTAAAAAACGGCAAGATTGACAAGCGCGGTACGAGGCGCAATATACTGCGTGAATTAAAGAGAGAAAGAGCGAGAGAGAGAAGACGCGTACAGCTGATCGTGGCTCGTGGCCGTAGAGTCGGTAGGCGAGGGGTGTGGTACGCGGCACTGTGAGCGCGGCAGGGTGCACGGCGCGGTAAGCGGCACTGTAGGCGCGATATAATTAACGAGCGGTTACTTACCGTAAAAGTCTCAGAGTCTTGTCTCACCCTCGTAATCCGGCTTGAAGGACCAGAAATGTTGGCGTCTCGCCGTGCGATTTTTCGCCGGTGGATTGCGCGGATTAGAGAGTGGAGAATCAGACGAGCACTGTACACGACACTGACTGTACTAGTTTCTTTATTCCCGGCACGCGAATCCGTGCCGTCGTTAATAGACACAGACGTCACAAAATTACAACAAAAAAACAAGGGTATATCGCTATATATCTCAGTCGGTCGATGCGTATGGTACCGCTCGTCGTGCCAGACTATACTGACTCTTCGAACTGCGAAGAAGAATGTCGAGAGCCTCCTTCCCTCGCTTCGAGCTCCTCGATCCACTCGATCGCAAGGGAAAGGGGCCCGCAGCCCTCGCAAACATTGCCGAAAAATGACCATAAAAGGCAATCGCCGGCGATGTGTACCGATCACCAAAAAATTTTTTTGATGGCTCGGGACGCGAACCTTCCGGAAGCATTGCGGTCACCGAGTCAACGACGTCTAGGGTGCCAGCGGTGTCCCGCCGACACGTAGATATCAACGAATTTTTGGCTTCACGCGAATAAAATTCAAGTTTTTCAATTAAATACGGTCAACATTTGGTGTATCATCGGCGCCATTTCTAGCTATTCGGACAATACAAAAACTCGCGAGCGATTAAAGCTCAAATTTTCCGATAGGAGCAAAGATCTTGCACAATGATTTTTACGTAGATGATTTACTATTAGACGCAAATACGCTTGAAGAACTTATTCATATTTGCAATGAAGTCATTGAAATATTGAAACGCGGTGGTTTTGATATACGCCAATGGGCATCAAATCATCCGCGAGCTTTAGAAAATCTACCGAAAAGACTTAACGATCTAGAATTTCTTATCAATGAAAATCCGATTTGAAAAACGTCAGGCATCTCCTGGAATGCGCAGCGCGATGAATTATTTTATACGGTTAAAACTATTGAGCGTCCCGAGAGGATTACTAAGCGATTCATTTTATCCGAAATTGCTAAGATTTTTGACCCTCTCGGCCTACTTGGTCCGGTCATGCTCATTTTTAAAATCCTTTTGCAACAATGCTGGAAAGCAAAAACAGATTGGGACGAATCCGTTCCCCAC